AGCTTGCTTTGATGTTGATCTTGATCGGTCCACGGAGGAAAAGCCGAGTCTGCCCCGTAAGACAGTCGCAATAAAACTGTTTTGTCCAATTTCGAAGTTGAGGGATACCGGTTATTCGAGGCCTAATTTCTTAGCATAAGCTTTGTAGACCTTGCTCTCGAAGCCCATGATGAAAAGGAATTCGTGTGATTGTAACTCGAAGGCCCCAAATGCCGAATCAGTGAACCCATGGCAATCCGCCACGACTATACATTTATCCCTCATCCCGGTAATGGGAATTGTGAACCACTAGGTAAGCAAACAGATAAAATTCAATTACATCCAGATGCTTAAATGCTGTTCCCGAAGGTTAATTGCTTGCCTATTTTCCGTTTCAGAATCCTTGTCTTGTGAAGTGGATCTTAAGAAAATGAAAACTGGAGCGACTACCAATTAAGCTTGTATCAGTGGTGCCAATGAATAAAATGCAATTTGCCAATGGTGTTTTCGTAAATTCATGGCGCGCGCATTATCAACGCGTGGAGTTATGAGTATGGAGCGCCGTCGTTGTCCATTGTATTACGTTGCCGTGCATAGGTGAGGCCCCATAATCTGTGTCGCGAATAGCGGTTACGCTAAGTAGTCGAGGTGAGCGACAGCTCATTGTTTCGGGTAATGGAGGGATTGGTGGAGGGGGTACAATCAAGAGTAGGATTTGGGGGAGCGCTATCAAAATGTGTGGTGATTGCAGTTTGACAGGTGATGACCACCGTTGATCGTTGAGTTAGCCTATTATGTGTTGCCGGGGCATTACGGTTAGCTGCGAGCATGTGTGCGGGCCTGGCAGTTACTATGGGTAGTCACGTAGGTTACGTCGACTACGGTTGCGATGTTTACTGAAGGTAGCAACATAAACGGCATCGAGTAAGTATGAGTATGATGATAAACAGTCAAGTTAGGTGAGTGTAACAGGCAGTCAGATCATGCTATCACCCATAGTTGAGTCCTTGTTTTTACTGGTCGGCATATATATTGGATTGATGTTTACTGTAGGTAGCGAAGATAAGCGGCATCGCGTATGGTATGAAAGACCGTCAGCTTTATACTAAGCGTTGCACATAGACTCAGGTGTTGCAATTGCGTTAAGCAGCCAAGATAGGCGACATCAACTGCAGTTACGAGTATGACGGGCAGCCGTTGGTCGTTAAGATGTCACGCATAGTTGGAACCTGGTTTAATAGATTCCGAAGATGGTCTGAAATATTTTGATACCAGAGTTAGCACAGGAGACTCGCGAATGATCTCTTCGAACGGGAGCGAAATCAGAAGAGAGAGTCGAAGCGCGTAACCACTCTTGTATTCTGTGAAATCTTACAAGTGCGTGTTTTTGTGGTTTCTGGCATTCAAACAAAGAACGATTGTGCAATTAATGACATACGTAGTGTTATAACGGATGTAAAATAAAGGTACAAAACGCCACAGGCGACATCGAGCACAGCAATGAGTTTGACGGGCTGTCAGGTTAGGCTGTCACGCATAGCTGAGGCCTCGATTTTACCGTCGCATGCATACTGGCCTGATGTTTACTATAGTTAGCATAGTTAAGTGGCATCGCTATAGCTACGGGTATCAAAGACCATCTTCGGCCATCGGATCATGTAACTGTGCATAGGTGGGGTCTCATAAGCAGCGTCGCACATAGATGCTTGCCTAGCAGTTACAATAAGTATTCGAGATGAGTAACAGCGCGTAGAGTTATGAGTATAAGGTGCCGTCGGTGGTCATTGAATCAGGCAGCTGTGAATAGGTGAGGCTCCATAATCAGCGATGCACATAAACACAGACCCGATAGTGAAGATGAGTAGTCGAGGTAAGTGACATCGAATTTTGTTATCATGGAGACCGTTTTATGGCGGTCATCAACTATAGAGCATCATATTCACAACAGGAATGATACCTGCAGCTGTCTCGTGACGCTGTATTATCTGCAGGCTAGTTAATCATATCTGGGAAATGGGATCCTCTACAGAGAAGGCCCCCGCATTGCCACTGCACAGTTCATGTTGTCTAACAATGTTAAACATGATGGGGGTTGAGATCCACGGGAAAATGCGTTGTGACTCGGTTCGTTCAAACAAATCATTTCATTTGTTAAACCTGAAGAGTATAAGGCAAAAAAGGTCGGTGAGAGATCTTCCAAGGTGGAATTTACACAAAATATTCTTCAGATGTTTTTTGTGCTTACTGAACACCGAAGAGCGACAAAATATGCTGAGGTGCGATTTCGTGTTTGGTCTCGTGTGTAATATGTCTGCGTGTATAAAAGTATCCAAACTCACTGTGTGGATGTTCTTAGAATAGCAGCCGGGTGGGCTGAAAAAGAGAATGCGACGTATTAATTGGATGTAACAGTAAGTTAGTCACTCTCGCCAACTGTCCACATAGAAGCACAAGAGCGTAGGGTCAACGGATTATTCTCCGAACCTCTGAACACGTGGGGATTCAGGAGAGGGAGAGTCAACAACGGGGAACAGGGAGTACAAGCGTATATAAACATCAGACGGTGGTAGTCACTGGGGTGGGGAGGGCATATCATCTCTCCGGTATTCAGGGCTGTCTTCATTTTCTACCATCGTTACCGCCGCCGCTTCTGAAACTAGACAAAAGGGAAGGGAATTAATGATGGCGCGCAGTTTGACACCCGTCGGCACATTACACAAGCCCCCCTCGCAGCAAGGCGCTGTCCACAGCGCTGTCAGATATCATCTGCGCCGATTTGAGACAATTTACATGCACAACAGTTGACCAATTAAACTTTCCAGGGTGGACAAGTCAATGGGTTACGTCTGTGATGGCTTGCTCTATCGTATAGGTCCCTTACAAGCCCTATGGAACTTAGACAGTGTACCAACAGGTGGAACGGGCTCATACGACCAAAGCCTGTCGCCAGGGTTGAACAACACATTTTGCGCAGTTTTATCGTATAATAATAATAATAATAATAATAATAATAATAATAAATAATCATTCAGTTGTAACATCTTTTCAGTGATTATTTGCCACGTCACCTGAAGGAAGGAGGGTTGAGATATGGCCAGGTTACCCAAGCCTAAACAGGAGCAGTCGAGATGCCATGGTTGGATTCGAACTACCGACATTTCGGTCTGTAGTTGTGCCTTACCCACTAAGTATGACGGGCTCTGGGTAGCGCAGTTATTCTAAGAACGGCCCTTGAAGGATTCAACAATCAGAGATCCGGATAAACTTGGTTCCTACCGGTCACGTAAGTGTGCCTGGTTCGTGAACAGTAGTTTGCGGACAAGCTTTTCTATGTCGAACCTTAAGGCATCAGTTATCAGCGAGCTTTAAGTGATCAAGCTGGCTCTTTCCTGAGAGCCTACCACCGGAACTTATGAGAGATTTAGAGGTGTCACCCAGACTGCATAAGGCTGATTCGCTCCTCAACATGGGCAGTATTCAAACTTTTTTATCAATTAACCAGCTGAATCGAAAGACGGATGGAAAGGTAAACGACCATTTCATGAGGAGTGATCTCTTGAAGAGTCAGTCAACACCGGTACATGGCTGTAGGATAAGTGCCACCTCACGTTTTTGGGTAACTTGCCGATGAGTCGTCAGTGCCTGAACGTGGAAGTGTCCAAATATATACCTTAGAGACTATTTCAAACTGTCAGGAACTATATACACAGTGCTTCCAGATTTTTGAAAGTTCACAATAGGTTAGAAAAGTACATTCGAGTTTTCATAACCGGATTGTATGAGGCTACCAAGATGATTCCCATTGACTGTACTGGTCATAATGGTAAATGTATGGTAAAAAAGAGACCTGCTTGAATGTTGGTAGAGTGAGGAGACTGTGGGTTTTCAAGAGGGATTTTGTTCTGTAGATCAAGCCAATGTATTTTGAGGGCCGGGAAGCACTGTAGTTGTTTCATGCTTATTGGGGATCATCAGCAGTGCCCAACATACGAAACTGAAGTTTTCGAACCCAATACGTTCTGGTCAGTCTTTGAACATTTAACCATTTAGCCACCAGTGGCTGATCAGTAGTGCTACCAACTCACAATTGGGCAGGATATAGTGCCACTCCTACTTCAATCAGGGAGTATACATCACGTGACCATGTGTTGACCATTTTGACTTGTTTTCCATGTTTTCCGAACAGCTAGAATCGCTGAAGAGCCAGGGTAGTCGCATCTCCCGGCCTGTCGTCTAAAGGATGGGGTCTGTCCGATAGACGCCTGGATAGTAGCGTGGTAAGCCAGTAGACAACGTGGCAGTGCAACATCTCACTGTTCGAATGCCTCAAGGTTGATAAAGGCTTTCAGCAACACTTTCGAAGTTCGATTTGTGCGCTTCACCATGCCATTGCCCTCAGGGTGATCTGCTGTAGTGCGAGTCCTCTTGATATTCATTATGTGGCACAGCCTTTAAACAAGTTACTTTCGAAGTTGGAACCTTGGTTAATGTGTAGTTGCTAGTGTACAGCTCAGCGCGCGACCAATTCGGTGGACAGCGTTTTGGCCACTGTCCAGGCATCCAGTTTTGGACACCACTTTGTGAAATGATCAACAATCACCAAGATGTATACGTCACCTAGATCCGTTCTGGGCAACGACGAGACAATTTTCATACCAATCAGTTCATTTGGAAACCCAGCCTTTATCGTTTACAAAGGTGTCGGCTCTGCGATCCATTACTTGACCACACTCTGCTCACGACTGACAGAATAGGGCAATATCACACGGCATGTGTCCTGCATGACCTAATTCTTCATGAAGGTGCTTTAAGATTGTTTCGACTCCATTGGTCGGTACGACATTTCTTCATAAAGTCACCTCAAGACCGTTTCAACTGCGCTGCTTGACACCACAATACGACGCAAGTAAGTAGGACATTTTGGTAGTAAAGGACACCATCCGTCACACGCAGCTGAGACCAAAGGGCCCAAAGACAACGCGTCGGGTAGCTCGAACCATCGATTTCGTCACTGGATGGTCGGTGTTGGTCGTAGAATAGCTGCTCATATAGGAGTTTCAATTCGGGGTCTGAGGATTGAACTGCGGTCCACTCCTCACTTTCCGGCACATGTAACGACATCGATAAGACGTAAGAAACTGAACATGACGGACAATCTCCATGATCGCGGGTTGGTTGGCGGGACAAAGCATCTGCATTCCCGTGTTCTTTACCTGCTCGATGCTGGCTCTCGAAATCGTACTCTTGCAAGTACTCCTGCCATCGGTCTATTTTGCCTTCGGGAACACGGAAGTTTTGTAACCACAGTAACAATTGGTGATCGTTTCGGACCAAAAACTTGCGACCAAAAAGGTAGTGGTGGAATTGTCGCATGAAGTTTACAAGTACTAACATTTCCTTGCGTGTCGTACAGTATCGCCTCTCTCGATGTGAGAGACTTCGGCTGGCATATGCGATTACTCTTTCCATGGTGTAACCTGAGCGTTGAGACAGCACCGCACCAATCGCGTTCTCGTTTGCATCCGTATCGAGGATAAAGGTGCCGGCTGATGGCGAGATATCCGGGTAGGTCAAAACAGGTATGGAGCACAGGCAGTCGCGGAGCTGCTCGAATGCTTTGACTTGTTCTTCAGACCAAACAAAAGGAGTGTTGTTTTGCAGGAGGGACGTTAGTAGAGTAGCGATCCTAGCGAATCCAGCTACGAAGTGGCGATAATATGATGCCAGTCCCATGAAGCTGCGGACCTCATCAGCTGATTTGGGGGTTGGCCATGTCTTGACGTTCTCAATCTTGGCGGTGTCACATCGAATTTCGCTGGCCGAGATTACATGCCCGAGGTAGCTCACTTCTCGGTAGAGGAACGCACATTTCGACGGTTTCAGCTTCAGTCCGAGTTGATTGAATCCGTCCGAAACAAGTCTTAGGTTGGCGTTGTGCTCCGAAACTGTTTTACCCTGTACGATAATGTCATCTAGGTAAACTAGGCACTTATCCGGAACTAGTCCGTGTAGAGCTGAGTACATTAGGCGCTGGAAAATGGCTGGAGCGTTGGTCAATTCAAACAGCATGGTTTGAAACTCATATAAACCCGATGGGATCGCAAAAGCGGTCCTGCAACGGTCACTAGGCCGTATTTCCACTTGCCAGTATCCAGAAGCTAAGTGCAGTGTACTGAACCAGGCTGCCACTCCTAAGGCGTCGAAATTATCATCAATGCGGGGTAGTGGAAAAGAATAATTTCGAGCGACGTCATTCAACTTGCGACAGTCAACACACAATCGTAAAGAACCATCATTTTTCTTCACCAAGACTACTGGCGGGGCCCATGGTGACGCGGAAGGTTTGATGATGTCCTTGCTCAGCATGTCATCGATCACTTGATTTAGCTGGCGTTGATACTGAATTGGGACACGTCCTGGTGGTAGGCGGATGGATGTAGCATTTCCAGTGTCGATACAATGTTGTATGTGTTTCGTTTGACCAACATCAGAATCCTTCCAAGCGAAAAGATCGGTGAACTCCGACAGAACACTTCCTAGTTCTGCCTTCGTCGACGAGCTAATTGTAGGTGACAGTCGCCACAGCAGTACGTCTACGTTGATCGACATGGCGGGACAACACTCATCGGCGGAGTCAGCAGTCGTGACGAGGGGTATTTGATTCCCTTCTAACTCGATGGTACCTGCTAGGAGGCCGATCCTCGCCCCTTGACTTTTCAGGAAGTCTACTCCTAGTATGACGTCCCAGGGTAAGTTACCAACGATCAGCATGGGCTGGTGAATCGTTGCTTGGAAATGGGTGAACTCACGTGGCCCATTGTGTCCACAGGTCCGGACGTGTGTCCCGAAGCGCTGGCAGTAAGGGCAGTCACGGTTCGGGGAGGGCCATCTCGAAAGATTGGTTGGGCTGGACGGTGAAAGGTAGAGTGAAAGTACGGTCGGTTAGGGCGCAATGGCATGAGATGGTATGGTTGTCCTCGGGCTGGTGTCCAACGTCTTTTTGTTGTTGTTGTTGTTGAATGTGGACGGGGGCAGGGTGNTGATTTTATGTTCTCCATGATGATATAAGCAGCATAAGCCGTATTTGGCTGCGACGTAATGCTGTGCTATTTTCACGCACGGCAAGCCATCCGGAAGCACGTGTGTTTCATAGCTTTGGTGTAACTTTTGCAGACAATTTCCAACCACAGTCGACACATATTCCACCGCATGGCCCGCTTTGATAATGCAGCTGAGTAGGGGACTGTGCGAGAGTGTGCACATTTATGGGTATGATGGGTCATCGTTGGCAGTTAAATCAGGATACTTCGCATAGCTGAGGCCTACTAAACAGCGTCGCATATAGGCACTGGCCTAGCAGTTTCAATAAGTAGTCAAGGTAGGCGATATCGCGTACAGTTTTGAGTATCAGGTTCATCGTTCGCCATTAGATTAGGTATGTATGCACAAGGACACTGACTCAACAGGTACGATCAATAGCCAAGTTAGAAGACTTCGAGTACAGTTGTGAGGATAACAGGCTGTCAGATGGCTGATGCTATTACCACAACCCCGGAGACAATTTATCGTTAGTTTGTCACATACAAATTAGACCTGCACGATAACCACCCCATTTTCGACTGTATAGTTATACATAGTCGCTGAATGGTGCTTTAGTTATCACTGATTTGTGTCGACAACACTCCCCTCACATGCATGTAGAGACCGTGTAAGTCGCCGTTACGTTACACCTTACACAAAGACGGAGAGCGACTAGAACGAACACTTAAAAACGCTTTTGCAGTGCACATAAACCAAAATAAGGTTATATTTATTACCAAAATCTTTCATAGGCTTTAGTGAACTCCTCATAAGTCACAAAAACGAAGACTCGAAAAGTTGTGGTAATAGTGATATTCCTTTATTGCACTTAATGGAACATGAGATCCATGAGGAAAATGTGTTGTGAGCAGGTTCACCGAACAAAAATATCCCATTTGTTAAATCGAGGTGTCTAAAGCAAACAAACGCCTGCGACTGATCCTGTAGGGTGGCATTTGCATTAAATACTCTTAAGATGTTATTTTATTCGTCAGGAACACCGAAGAACAACCAAAATGTGCTAAAGTGCGATTTCGTGTTTTATGTCACGTAAACCGGCAAAAAATGCAAATCGGCGATGGTCAATGACTTTGACATTTCGCTCAACTAAACAAAATGCTACGTGCAACATTTTGTGGGAAGGTGCAAATTGATTAGACTAACTTCCGGTTAAAATAGCAACTTCGAAAACCCTATAGTTTCGGCGAACTCAATCTGTGTGTGTCAATAGCCTGCGGCGTCCAAGCGCTCTGCTGAACGACTTCTAACAGCGCCGCTGCAAAAAGTCCGCCTGATTCGACGTGCTGGAGTTCCATCCAGGAGGCGTTTGGGGCGTTGAAGTCACCTACCAGCAGGAGATGAGTGAAATGGTAGTTGGAGGAGAATTTCTCAAGTGTTTGTATGAGGAATTGGTCATCTTCAGGGGGACTCCAAGGGCTACGGTAGACCACGCCGAGAAGGACAGAATCGGACCGGCGCATTGGGATTTGGACCCACAGTGCATCGCAAAATGGTGCAGGGAAGGGTATCAGAGAGGACAATCGGGATTGGTAGGGCCGCATGTGAGTACAGAGCAACCCCACCAGCCCTCCCTCGTTTTGAGTCAGCTCGAAAAACAGAGTAACCTTTTATCGAGATCTTCGTGTCAGAGACATCTGGTGTGAGCCAGGTCTCTGTGAGTGAGATTACGGACGGTTGTTCAAGGCAAGCTGATTGTTCAACATCGCCGGGTTTGCTGAAAAGTCTGAGGCAGTTTGTGGACGAGCATTTCAACACTGCCTCTGCTGCCTCCGAGGGTGAGGAGCCGAAAGTTGAGTGACCAGGTTGGTTAGCAGACTTAATAGTTGTGCACCAGGTTTGAGTCTGAGTCCAAGACTCCTAGGGGGCCTCTGGGAAGATGTTATCTGCTTCCTGCCTTTGTGGTTTATGGGGGTGCTTTTCGCCTGCGGGGTTTTTGGTTCCGTGAGAGCTCGGTTTGCTTGGGCTTTTTGGCTTTGGGGGACGGAGTTTTTTCCCCATGGGCGAAAATTCCGACCAGTGCTGTTTGTAGCTCTTTCAGCATCTCATTTTCGTCGACCAGATTTGTTGTTGATCAAAGGTTTGCTGCAAGCGTTCGCCTTTCTGGATCCGCGGGCGTTTTGGCGCGGTTTAACCGGAAAAGTGTCGCTGCGAGGCCCTGAGCGCTGTGTGGTGGCACCAAAGAGCAATGATTTTGGTGGCGCTCCCAAGAGGCTCGTTTTCCCGGAGGACTGCACCTTGAAGCCAGCCAACAGTTTTCTAATATGGTGAGTTTTATATGGCTTGTTTGGCTGCAGTCGCTCTTCCTCCGTGTTTGCGTGAACACCCGATCCGCCAG